AATATGCTACCAATTAAACATGGAACAATTTCAAAATAATGCTTAATAACAAAGTTGAAATTCGACCTTCAACTGTTAATACCTCCTAGAAATTTTCGAAAAAAAAAATTTCAATATTTTTCTCGTACTCCCCAAGTGAGCCTCCATCACCCCTTAAAAGGAATGACGCCAATTTTAAATCACCCTGTAAAGTTTAAAACATATTTTAAGGCTGGCGGGCCTTAAATTCTTCCATCATTTGCCAAAAAAAATTATTTCGTATTCTAATAATTGATAAGAATTAATTATTCACATTTAAAGTGGGTCAATTTTACATCGACTAATCTTCAATTAGTTAATATACATATAACTATGGATCATTAGCAAATATTGCAGTGACATGAAATTGTAAACAATGCTTGCACTTGCTGATAAAAAGAATAATTATTAGAACAAGAATCAAAGACTATAAATTTAATAATAACAGTTAAGGATTTTATACATAACTCAACTTTAATTTAATAGGTATTATAAATATACATATTCAAATCTACCGTGAAAAATTTGCTATTCCTTATTTGTTCGAAAATTATATCTTCATGATAATCACCAATCCCAATAAATGTGTATGTTATCAGTTCAATTTTATTTATTTATTAAGATTAATGAACATTTAAAGGGGTTTATCTAAAGAAAAACGCGATAACTTTTCAGTTTGGTAATGAACAGTTTTAAATTTGCACATTGAAATTGAACAATTGAAAATTTAGATGCGAGATCATTTTCGAAATACGTACCTGTTACGAATCCTGATTTTTCCTGGCACAATTGCATGTGTGAATGTATAGCATTCACACATGAAAATTATCGGTACTTTCCAATCTTATTCAACTTTTTTTAATGGCAATTTCCGATATTGAAAAAACTATTGACTAATGAAAATTTCATATTTTCTTCATTTTTTATAACATCGAATGTGGTTGCAATTTAGAAGAAGGCCTTTTAATTGATATAAAAAATTACACCTTAACTAGCTGATATATCTTACAATACTATTATAATAACTAATAATATTAACATTGAATTAAAAATAGACGCACACATACGATACAATTTTTTTAAAGTTTAATATTGGAGCTGGATTAATCATTAGCAAAAAATACATGCTTAAAAATATCAGAATTGTAATTTTGATCTATAATTTGGTTAGTCATATTGTTATTGTTCATTTACTTCTAGATAACTTTTAATTGTGCATTAGACACGATTGTTTTCTTCGTATTCTCTTACATTAATATGCGATAACGAATTGAGTATTTTCAAGATATAACAACAGTAAGCGCATTAGATCTGTATTGGAAAATAGAATGAGTCACACTTATTATGCAATACCCAGTCGATAATAGGAAAATAATGACGATCCAATCCCACTAAAGCCTTGTGGGCAGAACAATAGGCACATTGGAGCAGAAGTTTATTGGTCAATTTTAAAGTGAAACTTACGTGTATGTAGATAGACAACTTTGAAAAATGGTAGCATCACTTTGATCCTTGATGGTAACGATAAACTGGTTGGCGTCAACTGTGTTGTACTCACAGGCATTCGGTCTTAGTTGAAATCGACAGAATTCACCTTTATACCCTCTTCCAATAGTGCCAGATCCAATTCCCCCGATTGGAACTCCTAAAAGTGCACGTATCTAGCAACATTCAATCGAGCCCAGACTGGAAGAAGCTAATAACTAATCAGAGACTTGTCTCTGAACTAATGTCTCAAAACACTGATACACAAAACCACCATGATTTACTCACCGTACATTCTTTTCGCTGTTGACATGAATAAATAATCCATTACCACTGATTTTTTCTTAATTCTATATACAATATAATAGTAAATGTATCTGAAACAAGTACAAATTGAGTTTGTTAGTAGTAAGCAACCAATTGAGTACCTTACCTCAGAAACATAGGTAAAAGATCCCAAATTATCCTTAGCGAAGGTTTAAAATATGGGGTTCGCTTCTCGGGATATTCATGATTTAATTTCACTTTAAAACCGTATTTTGGAATATCCGTTTTGCTCTTAAAATCTCCCATTCTGCTATTTACTAGAGGAAAACTTTGTCCACTGTTCCCTTTAACAAGATATAAACAAACAAACTAACCTCATTTAATAATAAATCGGACAAGCCATTGGAGCCAGTAGCCCAGAATAATAAAAATATATACAATAATTTTCCTAAAATATGAAAATTGAGAGGTTACATTCAAGCAGTCTTGCCTATGTCGCGATATAATTTGCATTTTTTAAATAATTAGTTGTTTTTTATAATTTCTGGTAGTTTTTAAAAAGCGAAATTGAACAACTGTGCGGTTAGTGTATTGCCTACTCTGACTACTAACAAATCGTGACAGAACTTGACTGTCAGTTTGAACACAGATTACAGAGTAACCTCTGTGATCTGTGAGTTTGAATTGTGAATTCTGTTGTGTTGTAAATAATATACCAACAACTAAAAAAATTATCAATATTGCCAAAATGAGCGAGGAAAACTCAGCTATGGAAACTGAACCTCCCCAAGAATTAGACGACTCTGATGTCAGCAGCAACAGTAGCGATGAGAATGATCAAGAACAGGTATATTTTGTGATATATTTATATTCCATTATTTCCCAGTTAATTAATAATAAAACCCAAATTAAAACTGTAAACAAATATCAAAATTATTTGGTTCTTAACAAATAAATAAATGAAATCACCCTTCAATAACCACTCTTCCATCAATTCATCTTCAGTTTAAATATGTTTCACCTATTTATGTTATAAGGCTTAAGTCGGTTTTTAGCGGTTATTAGTCCTACAACTATTTTCGTTTACACTGTATATTTTTTAGATTCTCACGCAAAGAGCAGAACAACTAGAATTAGATATAGCAGATAATAAGTATTTGTATGAGAGCCATGTAGAATTAGTTGGTATCTACAAGAAGCTTGGAGAACTTAGGTCCTTAAGGGAAGCTTTTCAAAGGTTTCACGAGTACTTCCCACTGACACCTGCTCTTTGGATGGAATGGATAAATGTTGAAAAATGCTTAGCCACAACAGATAAACAGAAGGAGTTTATAATCCAGTTGTTTGATCAAGCTGTTGAAGATTATTTGTGTACGTTAGCATTCCCAGTTCCAGACCAAATTCTGGTTTATTTATATGTTTTAACTAAACTTTATCTTAACAGTATTGAAAAAACTATATGAGCCCTTGAATATTGTTGTACAATTGTTCAGTATGTATACATTTTACAGCCGTCGAATTGTGGTCGGAATATGCCCAATATGCAGTTGGAGCAACTAATTTCGAAAAAACAAGAATTGTATTGGAAAGAGGCATAAATATAGTAGGCTTGGTTTGTAATGGAGGCGGACTATTGTGGGCCACTTATAGAGAAATCGAAAATGCTCAAATTTCCTTATTTGAAGAAGGTTCCGAAGAATGGAAACGCCAGGCAAGAGCATTTTATCTTTCCTGTAGTTTACCTGTTCTTTTAAAGCTTTTATGTTCAGGTGCAAAAATTAGCTGATGTTTTCAAGAGGGAATTATCGGTTCCATTGCTCGAAATGGATAGTACTTATGCGGAATGGAAACAGTGGAGTTCAACATTTCCGGAAGGCCTCATCGATGCTAAACCGGTAAGTAATCTACTATTCTATATTTGGTTCATATAACATTAGAATAAGGATAACAAGATAATAATAAGAGCGGTTTTAAGACCCTCATTTATCTCCAATTTTTGCATATGTATAGCTAGACATATGCTTGCATAAAAGACTTGAAAAATTTCTAAAATGATGTTTGGTATAAAGAAGTGCGCATTCTAAAGCTCTACTCCGCAATTTGAGCTAAAGCTTGCAAATAGAATGATACTGGAATATATTTTAATGAAATAAACTATTCTCTTCTTTAGGTGGAATATGGATACACTCAAGCCAAAAAGCGTCTCGATATCTACAAACCGTTCGAAGATCAACTTCTAGCAACGCAATCAAATGAAGAACTACTAGAAACTTACAATAAATACATAAATGCTGTCAAGGATCCTTCAACAGTGATCTGCATCTTTGAAAGAGCAGCTTCGCAACTGTGCCTTGTACCAGGTTTGGACAATAATAAATTTATATTAAAAAAAGTAAACTGTAAAGCATATAATTTATTGTTTAGCTTTTTGGTTGGATTATGGCAATTATGTCTTCAAACTTGGAGACCAAGCATTATCAGTATGTAGAAAAGCTCTTCGAAATTGTCCATGGAGTGAAGAACTGTGGATTTTCAAGTTAAGAGTTTTAGAAAACTTGAAGAAGAAAGATGGCACTGTATTGGAATGTTTTGAAGAAGGTAATACACTCAAATTTGATGTAATTTTAATGCCATAATTTTAATGTTTTTTTTTTAGCAATATTAAGTATTTCGCCTAATCCAGGTCTAGAACTATGGCTGGCTTATTTGGAATATTATCATAGGGTGGTTGGATCCACAGAGAAACTTGATACATTGTTTAATCAGGTTAATTAATAGTTTGAACGGTTATATTGATGGTAAATGTCGTATTATTTTTAGGCCATCCATCAATTAGGTCTTGAAAATGATTCTCAATGTAAAGTGAGCAGATTTTTCACTAGAATTTTGGCTCAAAGAGGTGCCATCAAAGACGCCAGAAAGATTTGGGGCCAAATAATTAAGAGTCCTAACAAAAGTAAGTAGTAAGAAAACCGAAAAATAAATTTCCGGTGGCGTCAAAAATCATAAGCGATTATATGTGAATGAACAAGGAAACATTGTATATGTATGTTGCATGTTTTAAATACTCACTTAAGAAATATTCATTCTGCGGTCATCAAACTTGCAATGAAACTAACGTACCTTAAAACAGGCTTCTCAATATTTTGGCTGGAGTTCGCAAATCTTGAGAAACAGTATGGAGAACCACAAGCGCTGAGATCACTATTTCAGAAAGCATTGAAAGAAGTTCAAGATCAGCCGCAATGGATTATAGACGAATGGTTGCTATACGAAAGACACTGTGGAACTCTGGATGATGTTATGAAGTGTACTAAAAAATGTAGCGAAGCAAGTATCACCTATATTTTCACTTGTGTATTATTTTGTAAAATTTGAATTTTTTCGCAGATTCTAAGTCAAAGCTATCAGAATGTGCAGTATAAGTCAGACGCGATTACGACATCTCAGGCAACTAATAACACTGAAGCTCGCGATAAAGGCATCAAACGAAAAATGCGTAACGAGGACACTGAAACGAAACGAATGAAAAAAGAAAAGCCAAAACCTCAAGAGAAGCCTAAGGAACTATTAAAACCCAAACCTCCAGTAGAGAAAAACCCAAAAACGACTGTCTTTGTGAGCAACATGTTACCTGGAGTGAGTGAGGATAAACTACAGACGGTTTTTCCAAACGCTGCAGCTATAGAGATAGCAAGGGATCGCAAAGGAAAATCCAGGTGTTTCGGCTATGTCGAATTCAAAACTGAAGAAGAGGTACTTGATTTAAGTGCCACCGAAAGATGTCTTAATGGTAAACCTTCTAGGTCATGGTGGCCTTGGCTCGGGATAGGGAGCCGCTGGATGGACGTCCGATATTCATATCTGAGGTAAAAGCTAGTAGAACTGAAAGGAAACCCATATTTAAATATGCCACCAACGAAGAGAAGAATAAGCTGTTTGTGCGAGGATTGCCTATTAAAAAATCGAAAGAGGAAATCCAGGAAATATTCCAGAAATATGGTGCTAAAGATGTACGTCTAGTCCTGCATAAGAGTGGACAACCAAAGGTAAATAAAAAAGGAATATAAGTAATTATA